GCCATGGAACACCACCTGGGCTGCAACAGGCAACTTCCCTGTGACCCACCCCACCTTCCCAAAAGCTTATTCCACTTCTGGAGAGCTATAGTCATTTGGGAGGCAGCTGGGGGGAGTGCCATAGAGCACAGAGCACCGGGCCTGGAGTCAAGAAGACTCATCCTTCTGAGTTCAAATCTGGCCTCAGACACTTAGCTGTGTGACCCTGGTCAAGTCACTTCACCCTTTTGCCTCAGTTTCCTCATCTGTAAAATGAGCTGGCAAAGGAAATAGCCAACCATGCCAGTATCTCTGCCCAGAAAACCCCAAATGGGGTCATGAAGAGTCAGACATGACTGAAAAATGATGAAACAACAAAATCCCTCTAACCACTCCTCCCATGGCATGATCTTCAGAGACCCTGGTCTCCTTCCTCGGGTCAGTCTCCACTCTATCAATGTCATCCTAAGTCTGGAGCCACAACCCACCACCTCAGAGGCAGATGTCGTGTTTCATCCGAGAAATTCAAAGTGTCTGTTCAATAACCATTCAGCCTTCCCCTCTGAAGGAGGAAAAAGCAGCTCCCATTTTCCTGTGTCTCAGAGGGGACGAGGACATGCAGACAGCCCCTGGGAAACCACGCTCAGAAGTCAGGCCTCCAAGCTCTACAAAAGATCAGGGGGCTTCCCTCTGCAGGGCCAGGAAAGCCTGGGGCCCAGGCAAGCACCTGCTTCTGGGTCTGGGAGAAAACCAACCCTTCAGCATGCAGCGCTCCAGATCCCAAGAAGGCCAGAGAAGACCATCCAAACTGCCAATGGGCAGCCCCGCTGAGAACTCATATATATGCTTTTTCACCTGGAGGTCTCATCACCTTGCAAATTCCAGACACTTTTCCCATTGCTTTTCCCTCTGCCGTGGAGGACATGTGAACATGTGTCTTGCTGTGCTTGTCCATGTGGGACCCATGATGTCCCTCTGCTGATGTTGGGGACACCCTCATGGCACCTCTTTGTGTGGGAGGCTCTTCTTCACACACATCTGAGAACTACTGAACCTCTCTTCAGATCCTTTGCCTTTTCAGAGGGCACCGTCTTCCTGGGCTCTTAACATCCTGTGGGGATCAGAGTTGACCCTGCGATGACCCTTGGGTTTTTCTTCACTCTCACTCGATGAACAGTCCCCCTCCTGCTCTGCTCAGTGCTCAAACGTCTTTTAGGGCGTGTGTTCTGGACATCCTCCCTGCACACGGACCCTACAAGCTGTTGAAATTCTTCTGAGGTCACAGTGGTGGTGCTCTATGACGGGCAGTGTCCAGGAGAAAACCAAGACTCAAGATGTGGACTTTAGGAATGGGGAGGCAGGGTGGTTGTGAGACA